CAAGTGAGTTCCAGGAAAGGCGCAAAGCTACACAGAGAAACCCTGTCTCGAAAAACCAAAAAAAAAAAAAAAAAAAAAAAAAAAAAAAAAAAAAATGCCCTTAGTAATTCATTGTGACTTCTCACTCATAAAAAATAAATATAAGTAAACCCAATACATTATGTTAGTAATATGAGCAGATATATTATGTATTCAGACTGTAATTGCTTATTGGGAAACACATGGTTGCAAAGCCTGTGTTTAACACTGAGATTCATAAATAATACAGGTCTTCACTTTGGACTAGTGGCTTTTAATAGTAAACACTTACTGTTCTGTTCTTCTCCAAGAGCAACCAATGTTTCAAGAACTTTAATTCCTTCTTGGACAGCCAAAAGTTCTGTGTTACTGGCTGGTCGGTTTCTTTCGACAGCCTTTAGCTTTTCAACCACTAGCGGGGCTAATGAATGGATGTAGGGAGTTGAAAGGGCGCGATTGGAATGCTGGAAGACGGAGAGGAGAAGCTGGTAGCATTTGGCTTGAACCTATGGAAGAGAGTGATTTTCTCAATTAATACATGTCGCAGATCTTACTGGGTAGACAATCACATTGTACCTCAACAAGAAAAAGGAGAACAATGGAACTTAATGCCAACTAAATAAAAGTGGAGATTAAAGAAATGCCTTATACATGAGTTACTAAATCACCATCCTTACATAACAAATATTTCTACTGTATAGGAAAGCTAGAAACTGGAACATCTGATTTCTTTTCAATTCTTTCTTTAATATATAATTTAATATATAATTGTCTCTCTGATTTTAATGCCATGTAGTCAGGGAGGTTAATAAAGGATTGATCTGAAATAAAGCTACAAAAATGCACTATTTAGATACATCAACCCCATTTGATTCTTTGGAAACAACTGTTTATAGTAACATATTAACTCCCTCCTCCACTTTTTTAGGCAATTTCTCACTATATAGCTACAACTAGCCTGGAACTCACTATGCAGACCAGGTTAATTTCAAACTTGTAGAGATAGGCTTGCTTGCCTCTTCCCCCTGAGTGTTAGGATTAAAAGCATGTATCACCCTGCCTATTACAGTATTAACATTTTTTTAAGATGGGAAAAAATGGAGGGGGTTGATCATTGATGTGTGGGACAAAGAGTGAAATACATGTATTTCAGTGGTTTGTTAGAAGTTGAACTACCAAATTTCTCTGGACATAGAAAAGTGTGAGGGACATTTTAAAAATACAGGTCTCTGAGCTATAAATATAGAGACTTTAAGGAAGCTCAAGGTGGAGGCCAGGAATATTCTGCACTGATTTTCTTTTCCTAGTGTGTGGCATGCTTGAGAAGCATTAAGTTGGATTTTAACAAAATAAACTAATAAAAATGTTCATTAAAAGATGCAATAATGTAAATTTATTCTTTAACATTCTTGGTATCACTGAAATAAATACTGAAAAACAAAACCCATGTAAAGTCTCTACTAGTTATGGCCAGGGTTAATAAAATATTTCAGACATATGGGAGCATCTACAAATGTCACTCTTAGTGCTTAAATACACAGTTCTCTAACACTTTTTCAATTTAAAAGCCATACTACAGGTTGACCAGATGGCTTGGCAGGTAAAAATGCTTGTGGTGACGATACACAAGGTACCTGGCACACACATAGACATCATACATTTGCACCCAATAATAAATAAACAAGATTTGAAAAATAAAGCCACACTGTAAACATTTTATTGCACCTGTCACATCTTAGTGAGCTCATCTGAAAATTCCTGACAACGGTGGCCTGCTGAAGGGTAACTCACCCACGGGTCACATGAGTTCAGCGCACTTTTAAATCTGTTCATGCAGCCGTTCTGCAGGGACTGCACTCCTATTATCTCAGTGCTGGCAGACCACAGGAAGAGTGCTATGGCTGTCAATGTGCTCACTTCATCGGGCGCAGGCGTAGAATCATCTACGAGACAAAAGGGCAGCCGCGAAGGAAGACAGGGAATTACAGACATGAACAATACTCTCTCAATGTTTCCCACAGACTGTGCCTCAATCTAAAAAATACAGATTGCAAGACTCTCACTGTGGAACTAGGATAGGAAAAAATGCTTCAGGCACACTTTTAAATTGCTATGTTAAAGTCTGACAGGAAGCAGACAATTAGTCTCAAAGAATCTCTCTGCAGACCACTCGATTATGGATAGAAGAAATGCAACCTTATGATATGGAATTACAGCAGGTGCCATCTTGGCACAGTTATTAAAGCTGAGATTTGGCATGGTGGTGCACACCAGCAATCCCAGCACCGGAGGCCAGGGCAGGATGATTGACACAAATCTGAGGGCAGCCTGGGCTACAGAGTGACAAAAGTCGGTGTGGGCTACAAAGCACAACTTTGTGTCAAAAAGCAAGAACCAAAAGGTTCCTTTTATTTTATATTTGGTTTTTTTTTTTTTGAGATGAGGTTTCTCTACATAGACTTGGCTAGCTGTCCTGGAACTCACTCTGTAGACCAGGCTGGCCTCGAACTCACAGAGATCCGCCTGCCTCTGCCTCCTGAGTGCTGGGATTAAAGGCGTGTGCCATCACACCTAGTCAAGAGATTCTTGATGTAGGACAAAGCAATATTATACATTGTCTTACATGATTGTCTGAAAAAGATATATATTACTTATATGATATTCCTGCCCAAAAGGTATAAAGTGAATGTACACTAAACTGTGGAAAAATTAGACAATTATAAATTAAGGAATAGTCTACAGAGGAGATCCTGTAGCTTTCAAAAACATGAACATACATGGTGGCTCATACCTTTAATCTCAGTATTTGGATTTGAGGGTGGGAGAATGGAGGTGGGGGCAGAGACAGGAGGATCCCTGAGTTTGAGACCAGCCTGGTCTACAGAGCAAGTTCCAAGACAGCCAGGACAATACAGAGAATCCCTGTCTTGAAAAACAACAAAACAAACAAACATGAACATCATAAAAGAGAAAGGCTATGTTAGTGCCCCAGATTAATGACATGATAATACTGCAAAGAAAATGTCATTATTAGGGCAACTTCTAAAATCTGCATATGAACAACAATAGCACTGCATTAATGTTGGATTCCTAAACTTAGCAATTCTTTTGTGGGTATTTAAAGAATGACCTTGTTCTTAGGACACCTAGGAAGTATTCAGGAGTAAAACATCACCAAGATGTCAGCATGTTCTTAAGATGGTTTAGCAAAGTTAATTATGATGAGTAACAATGATGACATGCGACTTTTACCGAGGGCCACGTATAACGTGAGAGGCAGGAGGCAGGACAAGGGCATACTGGACTCCACACATCCGTTCCTGAAAGTCTTATTAAAGGTTGAAATTTATTTCAAAATCAAAGGTTCTAAAAATGAAAAAAAAAAATAGTACTGCAGCAATTCATTGCTCCCTTGAGAATGTCCTTGTGTGTGCATGACTATATACACACACAATTTTAAAGGAGAAGACCTCAGTTTTTTAAGTAAGAAGCATGCTTCCCAAGCTGGAAATTCCCTGTGACACGCCCTCTCTCGTGTCCAGTGGGATGCTACTTCCCTTGCTATCCGAATACTATGCAGACATCCCCATGGCCTTTTCCCTGTCACTCAATTACTGACTTACGCCTGAACTTGATATGGAGCTCAAGCTGGCCCTGAGCTCCACAGTGATCTTATCCTCACCTTCTATGGGTTGGAGTTACAGCCATGAGCCTCAATGCCTGGCTGTGGAAATGCCAAAAATAAATAAATAAATAAATAATGTGGCAAATCTTTCCTTATTATTCGGTTTTTAGAGCTTTCATGTTTTCTTTTAAAAAAAGAAAATTTAAGAGGGAAAAGTTAAACACAGAAGAAAAGTGGGCAAAAACTATGAATAAGTCTTCCCCTGAATTAGAAACAAACATAAAAAAATGCTTTTTTAAAAAAATTATGCTCCCAGCTCCACAGCAATTTGGCAATATCTGATGAAATTAAGTGTTAAAATATGTATCTCCAACTCTATATATGTGCCATAAAAATACACTACAAATCTTTTTTTTAAAGATTTATTTATTTATTATGTATACGGAAAAGGGCGCCAGATCTCATTACAGATGGTTGTGAGCCACCATGTGGGTGCTGGGAATTGAACTCAGGACCTCTGGGAGAGCAGTTGGTGTTCTTAATCTCTGAGCCATCTCTCCAGCCCCATACTACAAATCTTTAAAGATGTCCATAACAACCATGCTTGTAATTGGGGAAAATTAGAAATCACAAAAAATATCCATTAACAGAAGAATAAGTAACTGTCAAATACATGTGATGAAAGTTATGTCAGTTAAAAGAATGATGCTGCGGTGGTGGCGCACGCCTTTAATCCCAGCCCTCGGGAGGCAGAGGCAGGCAGGCAGATCTCTGTGAGTTCGAGGCTAGCCTGGGCTACCAAGTGAGCTCCAGGAAAGGCGCAAAGCTACAAGAGAAACCCTGTCTCGAAACCACCCCCACCCAAACAAAAAGAATGAATAAGGGGTTGGGGATTTAGCTGAGTGGTAGAGTGCTTGCTTAGCAAGCGCAAGGCCCTGGGGGGGGGGGGGATGAATGAATAAGAGCCGGGCTGTAGCCCACACCTTTAATCCCAGCACTCGGGAGGAAGAGGCAGGTGGATCTCTGGGAGTTTGAGGCCAGACTGGTTTATAGAGCAAGTTCCAGGACAGCCAGGGCTACACAGAAACCCTGTCTCGAAAAACAAAACAAAAAAAAATATTTGGTTGTGAGCCTAGCCTTTAATGGCTGAGCTGTCCCTCCAGCCCATATATATATATATATTTCATACTTATTTATCTTGCTCGATATAATACTTGTATATACACAGATAACGACATTTACTAACTGATACATATTAATGTAAGAAATTGCTCATTTCTATACACAGCTATTATAGAATAATATAGAATAAACTATGTACTTCAATATCAAGATTGCAGTTCTATCTGGGGATATGTTGGAATAGCCATAAGTATTTTGTCTCCTATTTTACAGCTTATCCTTTGGAGACAGTGACCATGAGTTTGAAGTTAGCCTGGGCTAACTCTGCTTCAAAAACCAACAACAACAAAGAGGGAGGGAGAGAGGGAGGGAG